TGTGTGTGTGTGTGGTGTATGTGGTGTGTGTGTGGTGTGTGTGTGTGTGTGTGTGTGTGGTGTATGTGGTGTGTGTGTGGTGTGTGTGTGTGTGTGTGGTGTTCATGTATACAGACATGTGGTGGCAAGGTATCAGTGGTTATGAAATCTTCCTCAATCTATTGTCTATCTTACATTTCAAGGCCAGGTCTCCCTCAGAACTTTGTCGGAGCCAGCAAGCACACAGGCTATGCCTGCCTCTGCCTCTTCTAGCACTGGAGGTACAAACTCACACCATCCGGCTGGGAATATGAACTCAGATCACCATGCAGCCAAACACTACCCACTGAGCCAACGCTCCAGCCTTGTCTGTTGCGCTTTTGTTAGACATTTCTTTCTGGCTATATAATTCAGGATCTAATCAAAGGCACTTTGGAGTTCAAGCAAATAAACCAGGACCCTCCTCCTGGAAAGCCCCACGCTCCCCTAGTGTTGCTCTACACCTTAGACTGCCTGTTTGGGTTTAGACTCCCTCTTCTTGTGGAACATCGCCATCTAGTGTCTACTATTCTCACTTCTGTCAATAGTATCCCTCCCCTGGCAGTGGTTCTCCAGGACTTCACTCACATCACAGCTGAGGAACGACAGGAGCGGCCCATCTCTCTGTAACACATGATAGACTTCAGGGAAAGCCGTTTCTCCAAGGTTTTCAAGCAGCACCTAGAGGAGACCCCATGCACTAGAAGAAAAGCACAAAAAGAGCCAATCATTAGCAACTATCCCTCAGCCTCTCACCCACAGAAGGATTAAAAAGCAAACCCCGCCGCCAAGTCCTTCCCAGAACAGAGACCACATCTAGAGGGCCACAGTGCAGCTCTGTCTCAGCAGCCACACCTTTCTGGAATGGAGAGAACAATCATAAGGCTGGGTGGGGGGGAAGGTCAAATCTAAGCACCCCACAAACCAGGAGGTGCTGGGGACAGTAACCACAAACCTGCCTGAGCCCGTGCCTCAGCACGTACCCCTGCTCATACAGTGAGACTCCTCATACCACATATACAAACCCCTTCAGTCCCCATCTCCCAGCACAAGTACTTGGCTCTGTACTGTACTAGTACTTAAGCTCAGGGCTCTGGCCTTGCATCCTAGGGGACCTGCTATCCCATCACATGCAAGACATTGCAGTCCATGGTTTGAAGACATGGGGCTTGGTGAGGAACTCCACACGGGCTCAGGAGGAAAAATAGATTTTCCCAAAATGTGGCTGGTCCACTCACCCACACAATCTTCCACATCCCCAGCCTTGATCCTCACCTCTTTCAGGCCCTGGTAACCCCACTCTGCTGGCTTGTACACTCCCCTCACACACCCATGTTCTAACCCTGGATCCTTCCTGTCTCACGATTCACAAACCTGCAGGTCCACTGACCGCTGGTTGGTATTCTCTAAGTAATCTAGACCATGGATTCCATTTTATCCAAACAGAAAACATCTTTAAGGGGCATAATAGTTTTCTGGCTATTCACTCCTGTGGTCCTTCCTTTAGCCCCTGCCTGTCATCTGTCACACTATGGAAATCAGACCTAGTCCCTCCTCTGGACTTCAGGGATCCCAGCTTGTTTTAAACAACCCCACAGTCCCTTCCAGCTGTCTGTAGGGTGAGGATCAAAATTATCTTCCACACACTGAAACCACATCAGCTCTAGAAAACAGAAGCCCCTCCCAGGACAGGGCCAGTCTTGGAACCACACGGAGAGGACCCTGGCTCAGGTCTGTCTCTGCAGCCACCTAGTTCTGGGATTAGCAAAAGAATCAGAGTAATGGGTTTCAGGTCTGAGTTCCCCACCAAGAAGTAGATGTGTACTCCTAGTTCATAATCTTCCTCCATGCCCAACGCCCCTATTCCATTGGTGTCCTCCATTCATCTCCAGATAGGAGCAGAGAAGGAACCAGTGAGGTCTAGGTGAGCTCTGTTCCCAGCCCAGAGCTCCTGCCTGTACATCTCCCCTCCCTGGGCCCAAGCACAAGGATCCCATTACTCACTGCTCTTGCCGTCCACATCCTGTAGCCACATGGTAGCCAGCAGCAGGCACATCAGGGCCATGGCGATGGGTTTCATGGTAATACGTTTCTGTCTCAAGCCTCTCTGGAGCAACCACCGAACGTCTGGAGAAGCTAAGAACTCTCTCCTGCCTCATCCTGTACTCAGCTTTTATCAGAAGGCCCAGGGTGCTTTCCCAGACCATGGGGAAGAGGTGGGAGTCCCAGGGAGAAGGAACTCATACCCAATGGCCACATGGAAAACTCCTTTTCTCACCTCTCCTGGGGCGGAGCTGGGGGGGGTGCAGTATTGGAGGTACGTTTGGGTGCCTAGTGGCTTTGGGAACTTCCCCAAGTGCAAGAGCAGATATCGATCTTTACGTTCTTGACAAAATACGTGGGGGCTGTCCTGGCTGAGTGGAAAGTCAAGAAAGGTGAGAGAGAGGAAGTGGCCTGTGCACGGCTTGTCCAACCCACATCATTCCATTCAAAGCAGCTACTGGCCTTGGAGCAGGATTCAGCAGAGAAGTTACAATCTGCATCAAATCTAGCTTGCGTCTGGGTTCCAGCTCAGCGATTGCACAAACTTATCTAAGCTGCTCATCCCTACAAATGGAACTAGTACATATCTCAAATCTGGGTGGCAAGAATGAAATGCAGAGCTGGGGAGATGGCTCAGTCAGCAAAATACTTGCTATACAAGTGTGAGGACCAGAGTTTGAACCCTAGAACCCACATACAAAATGGGAGTAGTGGAATGGTCTTGTAATCCCAGAGCTGGGGAGGCTGACAGGCTGATCCCTGGGACTGATTGGTTTGCCAGCTGAGCTGAGTTGGAGAGCTCCAGGCCAGTGAAAGAACTTATCTCAAAAATCAAAGTGGTTCACATGCACATTGACCCATGTATGTGCACCTGCATACATGTACACACACATATACCACAGGTTGAATTGAGATACTGTCTGTCAAATGTCTGGCCAACACATTTGCTATTAGTTTTATTTCTTTGTTCTCCATCCCTTTCACAGCTTCCTCTGTTCCAGATCCTTGCTTGATCACCCTCAGGACAAATGCCAATGGAGGCAGGGCCTGACCTGAGCCATCTTGCTTCAACTTATAGACAATCCATGGAGAGCCATCCAGCACAATAACTGCTCAGTAAAGACAGATCTGTCACGTGGAGAACACAGGAGAATGTTGGGGACACCCAGGGATATCAGAGGACCCTTTCCAAACAGTGTTCAGTAAGTACCATGTCCTGCAGGCTTCTGTGAAGACAGAATGCTAGGCAGGGGAAGGACTCTGGAAAAGCCGAGTACAAAGGAACATACTTCATTCTGCATCACAGGAAAAGCTAGAGCATGGGGTATAGCTGCAGGTGGGATTGCGCGGCTAGATAAAAACTGTATGTGCAGTGTGCAGTACTTGGGATAAGCAGCTCATAGTAGTAGGTCCTCAAGAAAAAGCAGCTGAGCTTTTTGACATTGGCATCATGGGGCCTATACACAGTGGGTTGGCTAGGCTAATCTATGTTGTTCTTAGCCTGTGTAACTGAAAAACCTTCCATGTTTGTTGCCGATTGAGTGTAGTACAACCGATAGTTACAACTCTTACCAAATAGTCAAGTGTCAGCCATCCATTTGGCTCTCCTATCTGCACTGTTTCATCCCTACTGTAACGTCAACCTGTACCACCTTCCCAGCCAGCTCTCTCTGTGCCCAGTCTGCTCATTTCAAACACGCTTCCTCCAATAAAAGTCACTTGCCAACCCCTGCTGGCAGATCTCAGCCTCCTTTGAAGTTCCTGTGCTGGGTGGCGATAGGAAGTCCTTGTCCTCCTGCATCTCTCCACTGGGGCTCCCTCCGTGCTACCATGGCACGTCTGAGTTGAATGAGCCTTCCAAGACCTTTGGAAATGATGACTCTTGGCACTCCTGAGGGAGCTTTGTCGAAACTGGGAATATCTTGGCTCCATTTCAGAATCAGAATCAAAATCCAAGTGCCTGTACTTGTGAGAAGAAAACTCCAGGCGATTGTCAAAGCACTAAGAGATAAAGTCTTCAGGGTGCAGAGGGTGGGAAGGTGATGTTCACGAAGAGGGGAGTCTTGGGCTTGATGCTATATTGAGAATGGGGGCGGCATAGGAGGAAGGGACTTGAGCCCTGGGTATCTAAGAATAAGATCAGCTCATGATCTCTACACAGCTGGACCATTGCCAGTCAGATCCGTACTGCTTCCTGCCACCCAGCAAGTCATTTAAATTACTGCCCCATTGCTGCTTCTCTCCTATGTCCTTGTCTTTGGAGGCTGATGTATTCTGGCCCTTTACCCCGGGGTCTTGGGAGAGAGGAGATATGAGTGTATGTCAACCAGCCAAATACAAGTGGAGACCCTTTAGACTCGGACAACGAAGAAGGGGCCACATAGCTGCCCTGGAAATTTCTGGTTCTTCCCCTGTTCTGGGGGCTGTCCCCTCAAAAGCTTGCTCCCCATCTTCCCTATCACTGTGACCACAGCTAATTTCCAAACAGAAAAACAGGAACTCTTCAGTATTGGTTATGCCGTATCTTCCTGGACTCTCCCAGCACCTGGAAAGGAGTGGCCAAAAGTAGGACTTATCAACCAGCAACTTCATGTTACACATGGATACCCCAACATGGCAGTCCAGGCCCAGGGGCCAAGACCTAAGGGCTCAATAAAATCTCTGTGGAAATGAGCAAGCAGAAATGATCGATGGTGTGGACTGACAAACAAGAAATGACCTCAGGATAAGCACTGTTATCATTCACACAAGCAAACCTTCTTTCTGTTGCTTGTAGTTAGGAGCCCTTGTCACTTGTCTTTCATTTTCTAGGGACCACTGAGTGAGGATGGGGACCAGGTGGCTGGCAGCCACGGTGGAGTCATCCTAAGATGCTGTCCAGAGGCATTCAACCCAGCCCTGCCTACCACCTGCTATTGAGTTACAGGTCAAGTGGTCCTTCCACAGCAGGTCATTGCCAGCTCCTTGGCATGTGTTGAACATGGAAGAACCGAAGAGATGGGTTGATCCATCTCTAGAGTGAAATTCTCTGTTCATTCCTTCAGGAAGAGGAAGAGGACAGTGACTAGAGCCAGACATGGCCACATCAGATCTCAGTTCTACCACCTCACCCTGGGCAGGTAACACAGGCTTTCTGAGCTGTGTTTCCTCTTGGACCTAGTACAACTCTCTCTAATACTGTCAAAATAAACTTCCTAAGCCTTAGCCTAACTGTGAGTTCTTGGGAGGGCCCCCTGCAATGGGAGAAGGTTTGAAAGGAAAAGAAAGGAAGGACTCTCCTGAGCACCAGGAGAGGTACTGGGGGAACCAAATGAATCTCAGGGGACTCCCAGATTATGCGGAGGTAGATCATGGGGAGTAGTTTAAGTATAGGAAGTGCTCCAGAAGAGGTGGTGTCCTGGGGGAGGGGGAGCTGCAGAATTCACTGGATTTACCCCTAAAACTGGGTTCCCTTTGCTGTGGGTCTGGAACTGCTCTGAGAGGTCCATGGGTGACGCCAAGAAGTGTCACCATCTCCCAAACTGGACTCCACTTCCCAGTCTCTTTTTCTACTAACCTGGTATACAGACACCCAGGTCAAGTTTTGTATCCTTAATGCTGTAGTCACAGTGTCTTTCTGGGTCCTTGATACCTGCCCCAGACACAGTTGTCTGAGGTAAGCCTACGTCTATTAACAGTAAAGGTGCCCAGCACCCACACACCGCAGGATCCCAAGCCCTGACTTCTTTACTTCCTGTCCCTGTGGTTTTTAGCTGCTTCTCTCTTTTGTTCTTTTACAGACCTTTCCTGTCTACTGCTTAGTTACAGCACAAAGGACACAGAAGTGTCTCTCACTACAATAGGCAGGCAGAGGTTGTCACAATAGTGACCATCGCCAGTTCTTTCAAGGGCTTCTGAGCCTGAAAGTCCAGCCTGCTGTGCTCAGGGTGAAGTACAAATGTCTTGGCTCCACTTACAAAGTGTGAAGTGATAGCCCTGCTCACTGAAGTCCTTCTCTTCAGATGTCAGGTCTTCTGCTTCTCCTTAGAAGTTGCCCCTGGCTTCACATGACTAACTTGCCACAGGCTGTGCCACCTAAGCTCCTGGAGAGAACCAGCAACTACAGGTTTTGATTCCCTGGGGCTCCATATCCCACCCTATCCAGGAGCTCTAGAGAGCAGAACTCTTTCTGTCTCAATAAGACCTCTCTTTGCCATCTATATGTGGGATGCAACTACTATTGGAGGTAAAAAGAAAGAATTTTGTACCCACTGAGGCCTCAATCCTTAGTGGGCAGGAAGGAGTTACACAGGTAGCCAGCTATGGAAACAGAATAAGGAGCTGGATTCCAAAACTGCATCTGCTTATCCAGTGTTCCACTGCTGAATACCTCATAATTTCTGTATGGGCAACATATCACATGTGGGGTCCCTGTGACAGCCATGGTTTAGTGGGGGTGCCCCTCTATTCTCTCTTTAGGCATCTTCCAAAGGCCTGCTGTTTAACACTTCCTGCCTGGCTACTGAGGCAAGAGAAGGGGTTGTATCACAGATCTGCCCTCCAGGGCCAAATTTAAGGGAAAGAACACCCACAAAACACCAGTTGGGCACAGGCTGTCATTAGTGTATGGTTTAGAGGGTAAGGTCTCCTTAGGTAGCAGTGTGGTATTTGATTTAGGCCTGGAAGGATACACATGGGGTGTGCCCAGAGGGGAAGAGAGTGTGGAGCTGCCATGGTAGTGGTTTTGAGCAGGTTCTAGGCCAACCTGTAGGCTCCCAGCCCAGGCTCCTTGGAGTGCTTCAGCTCTGAGCTCATCTCTAAATGGGTATGTGAGTACTCCCTGCTTATAGGCTCCATATAGTGTTGAAGGCATGTGCTCAGAACAATGCCTGGCAGAGTTCTTAAGGAAAATGGGAGCAGTGAGGTCAACACAAGTGTGGAGGCGGGCTCTAAAAAAGAATAAGGAGAGGCCCAAGTCGGGTTACACAAGATTATGTTGACAAGGCTCGTTCATCCCTGCTGACTGTCACCCTTGGTTTACTCGGAACAAGGCATGCT